GAGTAAATAATGGTGACTTCTTAGGTTAGTAATAAAAAAAGTTTAGACAAATTTTCTTTACCAATATATCGGCCCCTAAAAAACGACGCTAAAGATCGATATAAATAAAATAACTTTAAAACTACTTGCTATAATTTGATAACTTTTTATATGATGGGTGCAGATTACATAAGTAACACTCCTCTTAGATCATTTATTAAAAAAAAATGTAAAAGTGGTCAATACTAACAACTTGAAAGACGTAAATGTCAAAATTTGATAATTAAATAAAATCAAATCAAAATATGCTTTATTGCCAATTTGGAATTGGAATAAAGTAATTAACGTTAATTTGCCGTCATCATAACGCCACAATGTCACATGTAAAATGATGTCAATTGCTTGCGTTATTAACACGTCAATTGCCGACGTAACTGATCCGGTTTTTGGTTTTTAAGTAGGGTTATATATTTGGCAGTTACAAAAACACCATTTCTATAGTTTAAATGTTTTATTGGGTTAGTTAAAATGTGGCATTTTCTCCAAAATAATTGCTTATTCTTCGACAGATGCTGTTAAACAATTTGTGGACTTTTTGACTTTGCCCAAACAAAACTTGTTATAAATGACACAAATGAGTCGAGCTTAATCGGCCTTGCGGCTCTCGTTTTGTGTTGCAGCCAAGTACTTTTCTCTAAATGTATGGCGTGATTAATTTAAACTTACCTTGATTTTTACCTACTTTTTTACACTTTCGAGTTATTTAAAGCGAACATTTCAAGTCGATGGACATCGGACCAACTCTGTATACATTTTTTCTCTAAAACGCATATTTACCTAGTTATATGCGATTGCTTCCGCAAAAAACGCAATTTTCGGATTTTTTTTTGTTTATGCAAATAGCACACATATTTCAATGTATTTCAAAGGTTTCGTTGTAGTTCTTCTGGCCTAGTATCTTAGTTAACCAAAAGTAACTCTAGCAGATTTAGAGAAAGGAAACTTTACCCGAGTGAAAGAAAAGTTATACTGATGCGTTAATAATTATGTAAAATGATTATCTGCAAACGATAAGTATACTAGAAAATTACCTTTCTTTTAAATACTAGAAAAATGTTCGCAACTATGTCTGAGAAACATTCAATGAGTTCACCATTATGTGCAGATTTATACTTTATATAAGAAATTAAATTAATTACGTTTCGGTGCTCTAAAACCACTAAATTAAAATGACTCGAGAATATTCAAACCTTACATTCAAATACAGCACAAGAATTTAGCCTAAATTGAACAGTACTACAATAATTCAAGTCAAACGTGGCACATTTTAAATCCGGACGGAAAAGAACATTTTTGTCTAGTATTTTCTATTTTTTAAAATCGTATTACTTCTTGCGATATTTGGCGTGCCAAATGCTTTGGCCTGCAACTCGAACAATATTTAAATTTCGAATTTTTGTTTCATGACCTAGCATGTAAAATCGACCTTAAAAATTGCGCAACGCATTTTTCGAACAACCTGTATATTCAGTAAGTTTGTCAAAAAGAACGTTTTTACAGAAAATATTGAAAACGTATAGTCATCGTTAGAATTAATATACATTAACTTTACGATGAAGTAGTTACCAACTATTAATTTTTAATTAATTTTAATTGTTTTATTATTTTAATTTATTCTCATTTTGTATAGCGTTTCGTAACGTTAAACACAATATGTTGCGAATATATGGAACAAATGAAGTTTTCCGAAAATAGCCGGGACACGTCGATTTTTATTTTCAATTGCCGTTTTCTTGTTGAAAAATGCATGTTTGCAGAGTAGCTGAAAAATTTTACGATGAATTGCATTGATTACTGGTTTTTATTTCAATTTTCGGTATAAATTTGAAGTGTGCTTCATTAACATCTAATTAAGTGCCAGTTATAAAAAAATTTGCAAAATATTGAAACAATTTCACGAATAGGAACTCTTATTGCAACCGAAGGAATTGAAATTAAACTGGTGTTCAATATTAGGTTATTTAGGGCTATTGACTTACACAACTGATTCTAAAAATTCCCAAAGGGAAATAAATTGTGATTCCAGTAAACGTATAACCCCGCTACTACGTTGCGATGTGTCCTTTTAAATCGTGTAATGATTATTTAAAAGATGGCCACCAAGATCACCGGATTTAATTGATTTTGTTGGATTTCCTGTACATATACTTAAAACACTAATTTTGAAATAGCGACCACGATCTAGAAAAGTTGAAGCACGCGTCACAATGCAGATTGCTCAAATAATCCCAGTAATTTTAGGAACTGTTAAAAAAATTATATGCTGGCAATAATTTCAGAATTGCTGTAATCCGCAAACCACACCTAAAAATAAAAATCGATGTGAGTGGGGAGTTTTCCGGAAAATCAACCGCTACATTAAATTGTGTATCGAATTTATTCCGTATATTTGCACCAACTGTACAAGCATTAGTCGAGGTCAGACTTATAAATCATATAGGTACGACATATCTACACACTATCATATTATGTAGTAATAGCACAGTTTTTGAGAACTAAAATAAAATGGTAAAAATAACTTATACATAATTTAATAAGAAACAATTAAGCACATTTGTGTTACATTTATTAACTAGTATCAGAAATTTGTTATCAACTTTATTCTACTTAAGTATGCCAAATACTAAATTATGCAATATAGATAGTATTTATACTATTTTTACATCAATTTGGCAACATGACTGAATAAAATTGTACATTTAAATCTAACAATGATAGGCTAGTGCAAATAATTTTTGTCAAAAAAAAGGCTTGACCAAAAAACCAAGTGGAAAATGTTGATGAGGTTCCAAATTTATGAAAAACACAAATTTAAAAACACTGGAAATGGGGATGTTACGGGTTGAAAATGGGTTTTTGCAATTTGCGGCGACACACCACCTCCTAGCAGAAAATATTCAGCTGTAAACTTGTACAATATACAATATACAATATAAAAGAAATTAAAGCGTTGTATCTAAGACTTGACATAACCTCAAATTAACCTTCAAAATGGCGAAAACCAATTTTTCAGTATTTAATTTACTTGAAAATGTGTAAAAGTGTGTCTTTTTTGTGTTGAATGAGCATAATTTTTCGCAGTTTATCAGACGACTAGTTTTCCAGTTATGTAGAGTTAGTATTTTCACTATTTAAAAATCGTCTTGGCACCAGCCTATTAGTAAACAAGTTCAAACCGCTATATTAAATGAGAGAATAATATACAGGTACACAATTTAGGTATTTACACAAAGTTGTGATTAAGAACAAGTGATAGGCATGCTCAAAATTATATAATTATTCCCATTAATGAGTTGTTGATCACGATCTAATCACGATTAGATTATCTCCTTTCCCAATAAAGACATTGCCTGTGAGGTATTCGAAACTTAACCATCTTAACTAAACTTAACTACGTTGTTGCTGTTTTTTCTTGCGGCAATCAGGGCAAAACCACTGTCCCTTTGGCGGCACCATTATTCCGACGCACTCGAAGTGAAACCACTCGATTTCGCAATCATTTGAATCGCAACTGCAAATTAATATAATAATTTAGTATATTATCTGAATGTTAGCGACGAAAATATTCCAATTTAAATGCACTTAAGTATTCATTTCAGACTAGATCTAGTATGATACAGGGTGGGCCAACGAAAAGGTTGTAGTATTTACGACTCTCCTGGTAGATTTAGAAAAAAAAACGATCAAAAACGTCAACTTTGATTTTTAAGGGTATCATCTCTTATCATAGACAGATGACTATTATTGCATTATACAAGGTGTTTCATAAGCAAGATACTACGTCCCACTTTTGATTTTTATATGGCAACCTACCAGTTTTACGAATAATTTTAACATTAAATGGAATTCAGTGTTAATTATGAAAGTGGTCCGAGTCAAAAATTAAAGAAATCATATAAATATATCTTGAAAATGGCGTGTACGTCACTGTTAATTTAGAAACCTCAAAAATGATAGAAGATAAAACAATAGAAATGGTGCAAATAGAAAAATATCGGAAATGAAAACGGACAAGAAATGAAGGTAGTTACGCACAAAATATATATAGTTTGCCGTTGCATACAAATTTCAAATTGATTAACTTACACTTAAATAATTTTAATTTACTACTCCAAGGACATTGTAAAACAATGCATTGGTAAAAAATCGATCGACTAAATTTATATAAGAGTTGCCACATTTTTCGGTCAACTGACTGACCAAAGAGGCTTTTTTCGCGTGCAGCTGGAAATGGGCCGCGGTATAGTTTGTATCGGCACTATCAAAGAGTTCGCAAAAATTGTTTCTATCTAGTATCAAAATCAAATATCCAATGTTTTCATTTCAAGATCTAACATCGATGTTTTATCGATGTCCCAAATTTCCAACATCGATGGTAAAAATATCGAACATCGAATGAATTACATCGATGTTTTTCTCCCATCCCTACCTGGAATTGATCGTCATGGGAAGATGTCTGGATCTTCACAGAGAACAGAAGAAATGAAGATAAAAGCTGTACGAGAACATATTTTAAGTTTCCCAACATATGAGAGCCACTACACCAGAGCTCATGACACTTCTGGTTGAAAATACTTGAGTCCTGATTTAGATATTCGTAAAATGTATAGCCTGTATGTAGAAAAATGTGAGGAAAATAATCAACCCTTTGCTATGGAATGGATCTACAGGAAAGTATTTAATATTTTTTTTTTTTTTCTTCTTTTAACTTAATTTTACTGAAGGGAATAATCAGAGCATGCAATAATGACGACGAGAAATTAGATCTTAGTCCATGTCAGTCCAAAACAGTCATGATGTATATTTGCAAAATGCTGAACGAGCTAGGAACTGTCTTGCAGAGGACCAGGAAAAATCAAAATAAAAGTTCAGGAAATATTATGGATTCTCATTTGATGTGCAACAAGCACTTTCGTATCCTACATTTTCTGTTTCGTTAGCCTATTATAATCGAAATATGTACGTATGCAACTTGGGTTTTCATAATTTTCATGATGACAATGTGAAGATGTAGTAGTGGTAGTTCGGTGGGAGGCACCCAAATAGGTCCGGCGAGTAGGCTTTAAGGCCCTTTTCACCATTCCCCCTCCATCCATCCCCGCCTTACTACCCCTCTTGTTGACCCTCCAGGCGTCCCGTGTCCCTAATATTTGATTTAAGTGAAGAGGTATGTATGGGATTAAACGACAGCTTCGAGAGCTGCACAGAAAGTAGCATCATGCATTTTAGTGCATATGGAGGATATAACTGCTCAAAAACACGTAATAGCATTGACATGGATGAAAATTGCTCAGTCATAAAATAATAATATTATATAGTATCGTGTCATTCCTTTCTACCGAATGGCCGTAATTTTGGGTTGATAGAAATGAAAATAAAAAAAGCAAATTACTTACACAACCCTGAGCATTATTATGAATTAATAGAAAAGTGGAGAAGAAAAAATACATTTGCAATATGTAGCAGTCGAATCTGTCTTTTGGCTGCAAATACAATGGATGAGATGCTTGAAAAATGAACCATATAAAATGGTCTGTAAAACTTTTTTAGATGACTCTAAAATTCACGTTTTGGATTTTTCAACTAAACGAGGAAGACCAAAAATACACGGACATGTTAAGCTACTTCCATTATACACCACTACTAGACTATTAACGGAAGAAAAACATAGACATTATTTTTTACTACCATTCCTCCAGTTTTTCAGGAACATTTTAATAATCTTAAAAACTCGAAATGATAAAAATTGATTACTTTTTTAAAATAATTAATAAATGTTCATGAATTATTTCATTAAAATTATTGTTTAAAATAAAATTCATATTTCTTTATTGCTTTAAGTCATTTATAGGACATTTTGTTAATTTTTAAAATGGTCTAAGTCAATTCCAACTTTAAAAACAACATTTTCCTATAAAATTCACACAAAATTCCATATTGAAAATAAATTTTGATTAATCAAGACGAATAAAATTCTAAATAAAAAGGTGTAATATAAAAATATTTTTTAATTTATTTAAATGCAATTCATTAAATATATCGAAACAAAAAATATATGACGTAGACCACTTTCATAATTATGGGCATAAATACGTTTCACTTCATTTGAAGAATTCTTCTTGTGAAGGAGCCATTTTATGATATGTTTCTCTAATGAATCAGTATATACTATTGTAACGGAAATGGCCTGGGGTACTCACGTTTGGAATGGGGGATCGAAATTCATGGTATTTCAGTAAATGGGAGCCCCATTTGGGCGCCCCCTTTACTGTCAAATATGACACTGACAAGCGGGAAGTTTCGTACCTGTTCTGGAGATTTCGAGAACTATCTGGAATACCTGGAGGAAACTATATAAGCGACGACGAGAACCACAGAGAGTAAGTGAAGTGACAGCCGCGCCTGAGTCCAGAAGAGGTTAAACTCCGGGAGTCGGAAGAGCGAGTTTTCCGCCTGTTACTGTTATTGTTTGTGAAGTTGACGGTAATTTTGAAGTTAGTTTGTTCCTGTTCCGTAGTTAAAGTTGTACCGAGCGGAATAAAAGTTGGAAGCAGAAGAAAGAGTTTAATACTCGGCCATCCACGGTACACTATTTACCTCTAGCATATTTTTCAATGTTTTATATAATTGGAACGCTTCGAAAACATGAAATGTTAAGTTTAGTCATTTAAACCAAACATTGTAGAAAACATAAATTCCTGAAGACACTATTTGGGTATAAAATGTTGATGTTCGTATAGTTGATCTATGGTATACCGGGGTTATGTGTGCGTTTACCTTCCGATATGCGTAACCCCGAGCGCTGGCCTGCTTTGTGTGACGTCACAATTCAGCCCGTGAGCCTAAAGGTACATAAGCGACATTTTTGGGCATTTTGTGACCCGAGGGTTGGTTTTTCGTTTCATTATTCGGGGCATCTCAGCCTTTAGCAACAGCGAAATCAAGCTAGTGTGAAAAACGATTGTGCTCGACTCAATTTTACTCATAGTACTACCCTAAAATAACACGCCGGTCTTGCGCGATTGTTGAAATTGCTTTATTTTTGCGCGTCCACCAACCTGTCCAACATGCAGGGAAAGTACCGTAATTTCATTCCGCGAATAAATTTGCCAAATTACTTTCTTCGTATAATGGCAACGAATGGCTCTACACCACATTATTCTTCAGTTGTCAGTGAATTAGTTATTAATAAATAATCAAAGAAATCTCAAATGCCAACTTACCCAATCATTTCTGAAACTTCATCATAAGGACAACGGCAATAACAATATAATTGGGGCTGAGGTAGTTTAGGTGGCTCGCTCTTTGAAACCAGCTCGTCCTGATCCGAATCATTTGATTCAGAAGCGCTATCCTCTTTGGAAGGCGGAACGGGCGGCTGGGTAGTTAACAATCGAATTGGCGGTACTCGGCCCCGATGTTTAAACTCGCCTGGAGTTACGTGAGGTTTTGGCAATCTTAGCGTGATTGGTTCGACCATCGGCTGGCGCGTTGGTAAAGCCAAGGGAGAGGGGACAGTCTTGATAGTTATTGGAGGAACCAACCTCGGAGATTGAGGGGCTGGAATAGTCTTTAGAAATACGCATATTAGCCGACAAGATAACTAGAATCAGTTAGTTTCTTACCCGATTTATATCCATCTTGGGTCTTTTCATACTAGAAGGCCTCTCCGCATCTTCGTCACTAGAGTATCCGTAAAACTTATTTGGTACTCTTCGACGCTTGGAAGCACGCACACTGCTGTCTGACAAAACAGTTTCTTGGCGGGACGATGACTGCGTATCCTTTAAACAGTTATTCATATAAATCACACTATATAGTTTAGGCAATATTTATTATAAGAACGATTGTTGTTGACTACAAGAACGATATAGATTGTTGGCGAAACAGTTTGAGCTCCCTTCTGGTCACCATACGATCGATCATCTCAGGCTTGTAGTTATTTTCCCTTGCTATTTGGTTAATTATGTTAATATCCTTTGTTCTGGCATCGTTGAAGACAAAAAGTCCTGATTAAGATAACTGTTATGTCTTGAATTTGTTGATAAAATCCGTGGTATTTGTAAGTGTTAGAGGGTTTGAAGATGTTCTTTTTCAGCAGAAATGATGTAAGGTTCCTTGCTATAATCAATTGATGCAGGGGTGTTGATGAAAGATACCAGAGGTCTCATGGGTTAATTTCCCTTTATATCTTCGGGTATTGTGAAGGAAATCGGATCCGCCAAGAGACTCCACCCGAGAAATGTTATCATCCCTCTTCATTATGACAAAGCAATTGCCATTGTCAGCTTTTGTGAAAATGAGCTTGTCAGTCTTGATTTTATTCAAGATGAACTCAAGGGGGGCGATATCGCAGGTATGCTTTGAAGTTCGTGATTCCTTGAAAAGGTGGTCATAAATGATGTTGAGAAAATTAACTCTGACAAGGTCGTCATTGGGAGAAGGATAACTGGAGGATGAGTTCAATGTCAACTGTCAGCATATCAATTGAAGGTATAGATTTGGGTCTTGGGACAAACTTCAGACCCTTCTCAATCAAAGAACTTTCTTGGTCATTGAATATAGTGGATGGCAAGTTTTTGTATTAAGGGTGGATAACATGGTGATGGAAAAGTTGGGTGTCAGCCTCTAAGTGAGAAGATGGCTGGGGGCCAAGATGTTTCTTCAAGCGGTTGCTCTTGAATCTTACTCTCATACTTTTGTTTAATAAGTAACTTTGTGTTGTAGATGGGTCTTAGGTGAAGGTAGAAAGCAACGTCCACTTGGTTTCCTCCCCAATCCGACACCAAAACGTCCAAAACAAAGAGGGAACTAGGAAAAATGTTGATGGAACTCGAGGAGAAGACAACAATCGGACTCCAAATGAAGTTTTCAAAGACAAAGGTTCTGTGTAAATAAGACACTCAAATCAAAATTCGACACCCGAAAATAGAGAATAGATCAAACTATATATACACCTAGCACATGAACTATCACTGGGAACAGAAAAGCAAACCCAAGACTAGCTTGGGCAGGCTTTGGAAATCTGAAGAACACTCCGGAAACCAGAAAAATTCCAATACATCTAAGAAGTCGACTATATAATGACGTGTCGTCGGGTACTCTCAAATCCGAGACACTCGCTGGTCGCTGAATGCGGCGGTGACGGAGCCGGTAATCTGCATTCAAGCGCCTCGCTTCTTGCGAGAAGGGTGCGCTCAGAGCCCGCGGATGGCGTTATCTAGCGCTGCAAGCGCGTGTCGGAACGAGCGTGTGTCCTACTAATAATGACGTACGGCGCCCAAACATGGACCATCACGAAAAAATCGCTAGAAACACTCAGAATAACACAGCGTGCGATTGAAAGACAAATGCTTAGACTGTCACTACTCGCTAGAAGGCGAAATAAACACATCAGACGTGTAACCCTGTTACAGATGTTGATGAGAAAATGCCTGAGCTTAAATTGAGTTTTACAGGTCATATGGGCAGTACAGGAGGGACGATGGACAAAAAACTGGCTACAGTGGAGACCCTACCAGGGCAAACGAATCAGGGGACCCCCGCCAATGCGTTAGACAGACGATATAAACTCATGGCCGGTTTCGCATGAATGAGGGAAGCACAGAACCGAAATAGATGGAAACATATGAAGAAGGCCAACGTCCAAAAATGGAATATATAAGGCTTAGAAAAGAAAGCAACATGTAATAACTTAAATCAGTTCTTACCATGGATGGGTCAAACTGTGGTGGGCTTGAAGAAACGATGACAGGCGAATTCCGAGACAGGGACAGTGTAATCGGAGCTACTTGGTTTTCCACCTGATGGAACTGCTGATAGTACGGTATTGAAGCAGGTGGTACTGGTACTATAGAGTCCGAATCGACAATCGTAGCCGTATAGCTACGCTTCTCACGTGTTATTTTCTTCTCACTTTTTCGTTTCTTCCGCTTTTTACTTTTCTTCTTCTTCTTTGGCACATTTGCTAAAACAATTAATTTATCAGAAAAATGTGTCAATAATAAATTATATTTAAACTATTAAAGAATTATAATAAACGATTGGAAGCTATATGAGTTAATTATATTTGAATTACTCTAATTTAAAGGAGCATCACACACATCACTTCTCAGTTGCCATGGACATTTGCAGGCGGTTCTATGGTAATTTCGCAAAAACGAGTAACAAATTTGAAGGGCGGTTAGTTTTCCCATTCCAGGGGAGCCATGATGGATTTACGGCCCCGAATGTGTTTGACGGAGTTCGTAGAGAAAGTGGCTTTTACTACTGGGTTTGGGCGATTAAGGATTTTTGACTTCAATTTGGTGTGTTTTTTGGAAAGGAATTCTTGGATAGTGTCGATTTTGAGGTCATTGCGGATGTTCCGGTTGCGAACGTACCAGGGGGCCTTGGAAGAGTATCTGAGGGTTTTGTTTTGGAAGGTTTGGATTTTAGAAATGTTCGTTTTGTTAGTTTAGATGAAGGCTGAGGCACTATATAGGACTTGAGGTCTGAGGACTTGTTTGTATATTAGGAGTTTGTTTTTAAGTGAGAGTTTGCTTAAGGATGCTCTTCGGTAAAGGGCTGCTCTTCCCGCTCTTGCTTTGGCAATTTTGTCATTAATGTGTTGGGTGAACGTTAGTTGTTTGTCAATAGTAATACATAAATATTTTATGTGATTAGTCTATGTATTTGTTGTTAAGAGAAATGTTTTTGATTTTGTTGGTCCTTTTGGTTGTTATCATTAATGTTTGCGTCTTCTCGAGGTTGATTTTAATTTTCCAAGTGGTTGTCTAGTTTGTTAAGTATTCTTTATAGTTTTGCGTGTATGGATCTGAGGTATTTGTAAGTGTAGTATAGGCAAGTGTCGTCCGCGTACAGGGCGATTTTTGCAATGGGATCTTTAGGGATATCGGCCGTAAAAATGTTGTATAGAATTGCGGAAAGAGAGGATCCTTGAGGAACTCCCACTTCTGCGATTCTTGAGGAAGATAGGATGTTGTTAATTCGGAATTGGAATTTTCGGTCTGCTAGAAAGCCTGCAACAAACTGCACAAAAACAATTGACAGTTTGCAGAAGCTGTCCAGTTTCCAGATTAACCCTTCATGCCAGACCCTGTCGAACCCTTTTCTATGTCCAGGAGAATAACCCCCGTAGAGGCTTTTCCCTGGAGTTTTAGTTTAACGCCCTCCACAAGTCTGGCAACTTGCATTTCGGAATCCTGATTTCTCATGAAACCGAACTGCTCGTGAGGGATTCCATTGTTATTCGATATTTTGTCTAAGAGTATATCTTTAAAGAAATTCTCTGTAAGTTTATTAGCACTATTAAATTTTGTCTATACCTGGAGCTGTTTTGAGTTTTAAAGTTTCGATTTGTGTCTTCAGTTCGTCCATAGTGACGATGGCCCCCCATTGTTTCGTCTGTTACGTGTGTCTTTGTTTTTAGGACACGGTAATGATCTTTGACTTCTTCGTCGAATTCCAGGTCATCTAGGGAATAGTCAACCTTGAACTGGCTTTCCAGTGAGTCGGCGAAAGCTTCCGCTTTTGCCTTGTCGTTCTAGACCAGCCCATTGTGGCCATCAATGGGGGAATAGTTAGTGCGGGATTTTCCTTGGATTTTTTTGGCGAGTTTCCATACCGAAATTTCACCAGGCTCCAAGGATTCCAGACAATTTTGCGAGTTTGAATTTTTAATTTCAGAAATTTGTTTGTTAGTTGGTTTGCTTGTCGGTTGAGAAGGGGATCAGCGTTTCTTTTAGCTAGTCGCTTAATGCGATTTTGCAGTTTTATTTTGTTTTTAATTTTAAGCTGTAGGCCGAAGGGGTTTTTGTTAGAGTTGTGTTTCAAACTTGTTGCTTTTTGCATAGCCCCAGTGATTTTTTCGGTAAGGGTGTTATTAAGGAAGTTGAGTTCGAGGGCGTTTGTTATTGGAGACTCTGGAATATTAATTTCGTTTAAGTAGTGTGTACGGGCGTCCCGGCCTGTGTAGCTTACTTGTTGGAGAGGGTTGTGTATTAAATTTTCAGTAAGTAGGATTTTAAGTGGATTATGGTCGGAACTGAAAAAGTCATAGTTTGAAATTGCCAAACTAAGAGCGAGATTTTTGGAGATAGCGATATCCAGGATATCAGGATTTTGATAGTGAAAATGTTTGGGTTCATCAGGGTCTTCGGATAGTTTTAGGAGTTTGTTTCCTTGGCTGTTGGATTTTTTACAGCCGCATGTAACATTTTTGCTGTTAAGATCCCCAGTTAGGAGGGTGGTTAGTTTTGGATTAAAAAAGGTGTCATTAATAGGCAGGAGTGGTGATTTATTGGGAGGTTTGTAGGCAGAGATTAGTTGGATTGTGGGGTTTTGTATGTGGTGGTTAATGGCAGTGGATTCAATTATAGAGTTAAATGGGGGGATTGGGGTGTGAGAAATAGAGTTTTTGATAATGATCCCGGTGCCTCCGCCCAGTGTGGGTCCATCTGTGCGGTAAGTAGTGTAGTTGTTAATTGTTAAACCTAAGTGATAACTCGTGTTCTCCATATTTGCTTCTATTCGGTAAAATCGCCCATGTAAAAATCATAACCT